ATGCATTCTTCTCCAGATACATATATTTTGGGGATGAAGTAGAATCAAAACTGCCCAATATACAATTCTTACTTTTTACTAACTTCTCAAACACCTTCCAAACTTTCTCTTATGTCCTAAAACCAAAATTAATTGAGGCTCAGGCTGGTTATGTAGTTTGTCCAGTGTGAGATGAGCTGGTAAGTGACAAGGCTGGGATGCCCAGGTCCACATTGTTCCCTCCACACCGCCCTGCAAGATCAGAGAAGCCTCATGCAAAGCTACAAAGCTTGATACCCGAGGAATCTCAGATTAAATTACATATGTGAAAAATTAACACGATGATTGAAACCAACAGAAGAGGCTCTACAATAACACGTAGTAATGGAAAATACATTAAGATTTGGCTGAAGGCAAAATATCTTCATGTCAATTCCAAAGCTAAACTCATAAATATTCATAGGGGACTCATAAAACAGTAAGACTGTCCATTTGTCCTTTGTATTTTTTTTTTAAATAGAGGAAGTGGAATATTCAGTAGCAAGAAGAGATGGAAAAAAGTACGTCTAAACACTGCACGTGGAACAGTCTATCCCACTGATCAATTTACTTCTCTTAGTGATGTACTTCTCCCTTTTTCTCTAGAGGAAGATGAAGGCCAAGAGAATGGAAATCTTATCAAGCAGAATTCTAACGCTTGCTTCTAATGCTTAAAGAGCTTGTGCTTGTAGGTTCAGCTTTGTCCATTAAAAAAAAAAGGAAGAAAACTCACTCCAGCTGACGTAATATATCTTAAAAGTTTAAGTGGGATAAAAAGATGTTCACTCTTCAACAAATCATGATTATAAGATATGTAGAAAGCATTAGTCTGGAAGATTGGAATTCTGCATTTGCTTTGAAAAAAAGAAGCTATTCATTTCTAAAAATTAGAGTCAACTCGATGATTTGACACTAGTTTTGTTTTGTTGCTTTGTTTTGTGTAATACGTTGATAGCTGTTGAAACTGGCTGACGGGCACAAATGGGTTATCGTAATATTCTCAGTACTGTTGTGCTTGTAAATTTCATAACAGAGTTTAAAAATTATCCCTGCTGGGGGGGTGACATTTGTTTTAACATTGAGGAAGTTGTGCACCCGAAATGGGAAGGATGTGGCTGGACAGCAAAAACCTGTATAGAATGATTGTGAAAAGGCTCTCTCCTTTCTTTCAGGTCTTGGCTATGTTAATTTCCTTTTCCAAGAAATTATATGATGTTCTGAAAAGACAGCTTAAGTCCTTTCTGTTGTAACAGAAAGATAGGGCTTAGGAAAATAAGACAACCTATTAATTCCAATTCCTGTTCTTTTCACGTGATGTGATCTCAAAAATAGAGTCCTGAAGACACTACTGACACCTTTTCCATTTTTAAGGAACGGTCTTCTAGTGGATTATACATACTTCATAGTATTATTGTGAAGACTAAGTGAAGCTTTTTATTAGTTTCAAAAATTACACCAATAACATTAAGGGAAATCAAAATTATAAAGAATAAGTACCCAATCAAACATGTTAAACTGCTTAAATTTTCTCATATTTCCTCCTGTTCCTTTTTGAGTATATCTACATCTAGTTTTACGTGGTTGTCAAGCCACATTGTAGCCGTCCTTTTGTAGTGAAAAGAGAGTTAAGTTGATTTTACTTAACACCTCGAGGATCTCATTAGTTTAGGAATTCTAGACCACATTTAGGTTTTCTTAATACACATTCATATTACTAAGTGGATAAACACTTAACCTCTCACTAATTTACACCAGATTTTTCATTTAATTCTCAAAACAGCTTTACTAAGTAGCCATATTTATTGTGACTGTACAGATGAGGAGTTAGAGGTTCGGACCACCCAAGGTCACAAGGCTAACAAGGACAAAGCTAAAATTTACCATCAGGTGTGTCTCAATCCAAAACCCAGGACATTTCCTCAACAGGAGTTCTTCCCAAACATCAGTCATTTGCACATCGCTTTGACAATATCCATGATATGCAATCAACACCATAAAGCTTTCCTTATACACGCTCACTCTCGTTTTTACTGGTTGCTGCCTTTCTTCTCAGTCAGGGAGAGTCTCTGATGCAAATGGACAGAATCAACATTGGATGCAAATCTATAAATGTGCCAGTCTCTGTAAAAGATCGTCTATGTCAGCGCTCTCAAAGTGTGCTTCCTAGATGAGAAGCATCAACATCACCTGGGAACTTGTTAGAAATACAAATTCTGGGGTTTGCTCCAGATCTGCAGAAAACCAGAAACTCTGAGGTCAGGGCCCAGCAATCTGTTTGAACAAGCCCTACAGTGGGTTCTGAGGCATGCTCTGTCTGAGAACCAGAGCACTATATACATTATCTTATTTAATACTCATAACTTCTCTGGGAACTAAGTACTACTTATTATTCCCATCATCACAGATGGGTAAACTGAGGCTCAGCAAAGACTAAGGACAGTATCACATAGTTGGCAAATAATGAGAGCCAGGACTTCAATTATGTTTGTCTAGCTCCAAAGCCCTTTTCATAGTATCGTGTGAACTCAAAGGCAGATGGAAGGAGATGCTGTTATAGCGGTTCAGAGAAACAGAGTAGAGATATTTACATTAAAGAGAGAATTTAGACATTGATTATATATCTATCATGGCTTTGATATACAATTAACATCTTATTTTAGTGTTTAAAGAGTTGTTGAAATGCAATACTATGTTTTTGTTAAAAAGAAAAAAAAGCCAATTGCTACTTCCAGAAAAGATTAGTCTTATATAATTAGTAAAGAATGATGGGAGGTTGAATGAAAAGTTGGACAAATGATCTTGTTAGCTCTATACGAATCCTTTCTGCTAGAGTTAAATTCACCTTAAGTTCAGCTTAGCGGATGTTTACCAATTGTAATAGTATTCATACTTAATTAAACATTCATATATATTTTAATCCAATTTTTCTTGTCTTGCATAATATTGTTCTAGAGATTAGGAATTAAAAGCTAAGTGAGAGCAGTGTTTCCAGATTATTTCCTTCACAGGGTGGGGGTGCAAAACATGTTTGGGCACGGTGAAGAAGATGATCCCAATATTATAGCACAGCCACTGCCTGGAGGTTTCCTAAATGGTCCTTCAAATGCCTATAGCTTCAGCATAGGTTAACGACGTAAATACCCTGGCACCTGTCTAAGGTTCTCTACCAGGAGCTCAGCATTTTATGACGGAGCCTCATCAGTCAAGGTACTCAGGAGCCAGGATAAATTGTAGATTATAGATCTTCCCCAAATTACTGGCTTGAGAAGAGCCTAGAGCCCTTTACCAACAGGGAAAAACAAGCCATACAGGCTCAAATCACTAATACGCTAGTTTGAAAATCATATCCAAATTTACTATGTGTATTTAATGTTATCTGGCTATACAAAAATGATATCATTTTCAAACTCTGTTAAATGGATAAGAACCCATGGAATATCTGTTTCATATAATTTCTCCTTCAACCAGAATTTATCTCTGTATTGAGAAAATAAGTGCCATGTGGACTGTCATCTGGCCACAAAAAAATAGCTTTATTGTAGACCTGAATGTTCTAATGATGTTCACTGAGACTGGATTCTACCAGTCCATCAATGTTTATAATTCTCCATCATCAGTACAATTGTCATGACTGAAAGCACCCTTTGTGATTCTAGAAACTGAATTCTAAATTTGGGCTGATGTACAAAGAACACAATGCATACTTTGAAAAACACTGGGACTGATCCAGCCACTCCCAGATTTAAGGTCCTGGTAACCTTTCTGTAGAGAACACATACCTTCTAAATAGCTCAGTGTTTACATTTGCTGAGAGCTACACCTGGAGAAATGTTTCAGATTTCTTTCTATTGTTGACTTTTCTTAACCTTTCATTTCCTTATACTCCTGTGTTCTTCTAAGCCAGTAGCTAAAGAGCAGTCTAGATCAAATTAAGACAGAAGCAACCCACTGCATGAACCACGAGTAGGCCAGGAATGAGATTAACAGCAGGGCCGGATGGGGGCCAAACTGTGGGAGAAACTCAGGCCAGTGCAAGGAAGGTGGAAACTAATTGGAGGCGTCCACATGAGGTGCCTGTGCTTTCTCTCGGCATCAGACGCAGCTGCATGATGGGCCCAGGTGGCTACCTGGGAACCAGATATTCTAAAGAAGGACTTTGCTCTGTTAACATTCCAACTGGAACTCTGGAGCTTGCTAATTCTACAAGGTCTTTCTGATATCTTTATCTTTATCTTTACTGATACCATTTGTTGGCCTAGCTATTGTGGAATTATACCTCCAAGCGGTATCTTACCCACTGTTTTTCTAATCCTTACTATCAAAAATTGACCCCACCCTAGCTGCCCCAGGCACAGGACACTTTTATACATCCTTCCAATCTCATACCTATCCACTCCCTCCCCAGACCCAACCCATAACCATCCAACACTCTACATATCCTCAAATCAGGCATAGTGATAGGTGGTAGTGTAGGGTAGTGATGGGGAAGACAAAGATGGATGTCACATTTCTTACCCTTACAGAACCCAAACACTGAGCAGGTAGACCAGAGGAGACATTCACTTAGCAGGTAATTACAATTCAATGCCATGGCACTGAGTATAGAAAACCCAGAGTGGGAGTACCAATCATCTGGAGGGGGGTTATCAGGGTTGGCTTCTGGAGGAGGTGACATCCAAGGTGGGTTATAAAGGATGACTAGGAGTTAGTCAGAGATGGCAGGAAGGGTATCCCAGGGAGGACATCATAAAAAGCCACCAAAAACAATTAGATGAAAACTGCAGGAGTGTGTAGGGCAGAGTAGTTGCTGGAACATAAAGAAGAGGCATCAACACAAAACAAATGAGGATGGATATGGGTGGGGGAGGGGAGGAGTCAGGTCAGGGAGGTCATGCCACAGGAAGAACTTCAACCTGACTCTCAAGATCATGAGAAGCCACTGTGAAGCTTTGAGCAGGGGAACCACAGGTGCTCCCTAGCCCATCCGAGTGATCTGGACGTTCTCCATCCTTGGACTCTGGGAAGCAAAGGTCCCTGTGCCTTTGTCCCACAAAATTCCTTGAACCTAGATTTAAAGATGCTTCAAAATAAGAAGTTGAGCTTTTAAATTAAAATTAGCTCCCTAAATGTCTGCATATGGTATATTTCTTGTAGTATTTTGTTTCTCATGTACAGACAATAGGGTGCCTAAAATGAGAACCATTTCTCTTTTTCTGTGCATTTGTGGTGAACTTTTAAGAAAACATGTACTGTTTTCCACATATTTCATGAGTTTTATTGTCTATAAACTTCATAAAGTATCTCTGGAAAGATACACAAGGAAGCAATAATACCAGCAGCTGATGGAGTGCAAAATTTAAAAATTTTGAAACCTGTGAATGTATTTCCTGTTTTTTTTTAAAAAGTTAACTTTTTAAAAAATGTCTTTAAAATAGGGGCAGATATTCAGGGAAAAAAAACACAACTTTTTTTTTTCGAGGGGTTGGGGTGGGGGAAAATTAGCCCAATATATTAAATTAGCCCAATATACTAGAGTCACTAAACTTAATCCTCAACCATTCAAATCTCGGCGCTTAAATGCCGTGAAGTCATGTCTGTCTTCTTGCAGAGGACCCTCAGTCACAGTATAGCGCTTGTGTAAAGAGCATGGAGAGCTAAATAAATATTTGTTGATTGCTGAAAATATAAGTGTCAAAATGTTATGTTTTGAAGATTTTTCTATTCTGTGTGAAGACTAAGTCCTCAAGACACTTCGTTTTCCTGTATCATCCTTACAGTGATGAGGTTGAGGCTCAGCGTGCTTGCTTCTTGCCCCCGAGCCTCTGTGAGAACGCTAACTGAAGAACTCTTCCCATTCCACTGGCTCGGAGAAGGAAGAGCCAGACGAAAGCCTACCCCAGGTGAGGACAGAGGGAGCTGGCACAGAAGCCAGTGTGGAGTGTGGGGGCAGTGCCAGCAAGGGCACCTTCCCATGACTCCAGCTAGCACAGTGGCCCTGCTAAGCCTCAGCACATACACGCACACACACACACACACACACACACAGCCACCCCGCATCCCTGCTAACCTTATTTCCAGCTTAAAGTGGTCGGGTGGAGCTTACTACCACTGCCGTCCTCATTTTTTTCCCCATCCTTATCCTTTCTCCTTTCTGGAGTTCTGCAGAAAATCTGCTTTAGATATACAGGAAAGAAGGAAGGATTATTCCTTTTCTTGGTGCAAGAGAAACAGTTCAAACTTCAGGCCACATAAATCCAGGACGAGCTCTCAGCTCTGCCTTGGACGAGCTCTGGGAAGATGAGCATATTACCTCAATTTCTCTAGGCCCCATTTTCTTCATCTCTACATAAGGATAACACTGATCATTTCTCATAATTGAAAGAAATGATATACAACATATATCTGGCACAACCTGTATCAACAGAACCAATATTAGATTGAATATCTAATTTAGATATATTTATGTGTTTAGAATATTTATGTGTGTTGAAAATAGTTATTTGTAAATAAGAAGTATGAATGCTCGCTACACTGTGACACATGCGGGTTGCCGCCCCCCTCCTAAAGCTCTTTGTGATCTGACAATTTAGTGTCTGGAAATCAACTGCTCATGGGGTAGCATATGTCTCTGTCCCCAGTCAACTTGCCGGTCCTCTTTTTGCCTTCTCTAAGTAGCTTTCTTTGACCACCACTCTAATTTAGCTCTTAGGAATGCTGAGTTACCTAAGAACTGCTATGACTCTACATTCAGACATGAAGGCAGCACCCGAAAGTGTCAACAAGAATGATACGACACATAAGAGCAGGGAGTTATTTCAAGTATGGCAGGCACAGGGCCACAGTGACACAGGGCTGACACCCACAGCCATGCTGGCACAAGAGTGGGAAATATGGTATTGGGCCATCACCAGGAAGATGCACCACAGGTCACACAGGTATTCCCAGACAACATATGGGAAACACCCCTGAAAACCAACCCAGTCCTGAAGTAAAGAGAGAGGTGGGTGCTATTATGTGCTTTCAGTTGCCTGGCATACCTTGGACTCCTTTCCAAACTATCATACACAGCTGAAAAGATTTCATAGGATATGAAGACAGGAGGCTGCAAACTGGAATTTCTAATAGAAATCTGTGGCTTAAAAATTGAGAATTTACTTTGGATCAACTCCAGGTAGCATCTGTCTCTGTATGTTTCAACTCACTGCTACCCATTCTTCTAGACAATAAAATATTGGACTAGGTTTACTGAACCAAATCAGTTGAGACACGGGTACCTGTTCAGGTTTTAGACTAGAGACATTTAAGCCAAAGTGATAATGTGTAAGCATCCAAAGAGGATTCAAAGAATCTAAAATCAGCCTCATGAACTTTGAGCATCAATGTAATACTGTGTAACATCCTCTGAAAGAAACACTACCTACTTCAACTCATGAATTCTAGAATGCTTATTAAAAATCAGCCTCATTATGTCATAGCTGTGCTCACGAAGGACTATGAAAAGCCTTCATTCAAAAGACTAAGCTATATTATATGTCAATTATACCTCAATTAAAACAAAAAAGACTGAGCTAAAAGTTGGTAACTATGTGATACACAGTATAAGGTAGTTTTGCCAGAGCTCCTGTAGCTCAGCGTATGTCTTAGATTGCTACATTGCACATAGTTATGAGACAGAACCTAGCCTTAAACTGTCACTAAAAAGCAACCAGAATAATAGTTTTCTAAGCATTAAAATTTTTTTCAAATAATTTCGAATGAGTCAATTCTCCAGAGCAGTTAGATGTTAGCAAACTCAATCTATGGATAAGAGAAAACGGGAATGGAAACCGGTACCTACCTGGAATCCTATTAAGTGTTACCCAGAAATGTTCATCAGGACTGTAGGTATCTTTTGACCACCGTAGCAGATCAATGGCCCTTTTGTCTTGGAAGACAAAGTTGACAAACTCTCTGGTAAGGGCCACATAGGCAGTGCCAAAGTAGATGGTCAGCTGATGTGGAGGTGAGGTTTTCAAAACATTGGTGTTTTTCACAAAAGAGCCATCTTTGCCTATGTGCTCTCGGTGGACATACTTAGTCCGTCCAATGGCATGAGCTGGGGGCAGCACTCCTGGGGTAATGTTTTTTCCTTTAAATCCTTTCAGGTACTGAACTATTTCCTTGTTGGTTTTCAGGGGGAAATCTTGCCCGCAGGTGTTGATGGCATACTTCCATGGAACCTCCGAGGCCACAAGGTCTTTTAGGCAGTTCAGGTCTGCCTGGAGCCTGGAAATTCCTGCATAGACCACCGGCTCTATCTTTGAAGCAATGAAAGCATTTTGGAAGCAATTCACTAACTGCCACACAGATTCCTTAAACTCATTTGTGGCTTTGTCATCCACATGAACACAGTAGACGTTTTGGGGCATATAGATAGCCCTGAAGAGCCTTTCAAAAGTATCAAAGTCCTTATGAATGACCATGACATACGCCAAAGGGAAGGCGACTTCTTCTTCTGAGAGGGGGCTTGTGATGTAGTGATTCTGGAGGAGGTAGTCCTTGCAAGAGACACTTCCCAAAGGTGATGTCAGGGTCTTTCTCCACAGAAAGGCTGGCTTATCTTCTAAGGCGTTATTACAGGCTTGTACTCTTAAATACCTTTCACTGGAACCATTCAGCTTCCTGTGACTTTTTAGCAAGCTTAATTGGCATGTATTGAAAAGTATCACCAAAAAAACCACACTGAGCACAGTGAAAGCAAAAAAGTGAAGCCTCCAAAAGTTCATTATTTTCACTTCCTTGGGGAAGATGTAGAGCTCTCCAGGGATCAAGAAATGATCAGTCCCTGAAACCACAAGTGTGAAGGGGTTGAACTGACTTCTTTTGCCAGTCTTGAATTTCGACAGCTTCTCGGGAGGGCTTCTTTGCCCGAGTCCTTTAATCCTCATCTATTCTCTGCTTCAGTGCCGTGTCCATCCTTTTTGGCATTGGCCGGAAAGGAGATGCTTCTCTAAGGCACACTGCGCTTCAGCCTGCGGTGCTGAACCCGGCTACTTAGCAGAGCCTGGCTCTTGGCTCTCGGCTCAGCCCAGCCTTCGGGAAGCCGTCCTCATTTGCATGTGAAACGCAAGTGGTGGATCTTAGCATATTACGTTATGGAATGGAATGACGGGTCCTTTTCACTGGGACTGAGTTTCTCTTGCTTCCCCCCACCTCCCTTCCATCTAATCTATTCCGATCTGATCTCCCTTCTCTTCTCACGCTTTCCTTGTGCCTTTTAGAATAAGTGATGCTACTTTTTCTGGTTAGCCCCACAATCTGCTAACCAGTCCTTAGAAATTACAGCATTTAGGACTTCTGCTTCTGGGGTTTATTTCTCTTCCTGTTTCTCTGCCTCCTCTTTTCATTTCAGTGTCATCTCTACCTCTGGGCACATACAGACACGGATAAGGAAAAAAGAGCTTCCAACAAGTCTAAGGAGAAGATGACCAGCACCAAAAATGTCTGATGGTTAGGTGGGTGTTTGCTGGATTAAATCAGACAGTTTCTGATAGTGTTACATAGCGTATCTATGTATGTGCAGGGTATGGGAAGAAGGAAATAAGAATTACACTCTTGGGGGCATGGGACAAGGGGAGAAGGAACCTAGGAGTGACTTTAAACATTAAAGGGTCAGTGTGAATGACATAAGTGAAATAAACACACCTTAGTGCACACACCAGAGAGAAAGGTGATACTCATTGTTCCCAGAGAGCAAAAGTTGGTTCCCTTTCACACAGAGCTTCAGATAACTTGAGCTGTTGACATGGTATTATCTACAACATGTGGAGTGACTGGCCACTGGGTCTCTTTAAAAGGCCGACATCTTCAGATCTGAGGTGATTTAATAGAACTCAAAGGATTTTTCTTCCCACCCAACCCCCTCTCCCACTTCCTTACTCTGAAGAAAGAACAAAGGCTCAGGGCTGCTGCAAAATTCCTGGAAGCATCTGTCAGTGTACTGCAGGGGAGCCAGGAAGAGAAGCCCAGCAGGTCTGGTCACATTACAGAGGGCTTCTCCGAGCTCACTTGTGCCAGGTGCCTCGAGCACTCAGCGAGTGTGGAGTGCGTTGCAGATTGATGCTGATGGTAAGGACGCTTCTGGAGGAAAGTTACTGCTCCAATTAAAAGTTCAACAGTGGCAGCCATACAAGGTATGCTAAAAGTGGCCCTGCTCCCCTCTTATTCCCGCAGTCACCCAGTTATCCACCTGCTGGGCATGATGTGGCAGCTGGAGCAGCTGCCCCTGTTAGGAAAACTCTTGGTATGTAATGCAGCGATCTCCCCACCCCCCTCCTATCCCACACCACCCTTAACGTCTTACAGCTCACGGGACTAATGAATGGCAGTAGTACTGTAGATGTGACAAACAGCGACTTGGAGATAGAGTCAAAGAGTTGGCAGGGATCTAAAGATCACCTAACACAACCTTTATTTTATGGATGAGGAAACTGAGGCCAATAAATATATTTTTTTCGAAGTCATTCAGCTGGATAGAAGCCAGAGCCTTAATTCTACAGCTCCCTTGTCCAGAGGCTGGAGCCAGGACAGTTGGATTCAAATCCCAGCCGGTCGCCACCAGCTGTGCGAGCAGGGTGAAGTTACTTAACCTCTCTCAGCACCAAGTTCTTGGTTTGAGAGATGGGAAATAACAGTGGTTCCTATTTCACATGGTTGTTGAGAACATTCAATGAGACAACTCTTGTTCAGGGTTTGTGTTCGCCTACGTGCAATAGGCATTAGCGACTACTGTCGCTGTTGTTTCTCTTTTGAAAAATATCCACCATTTCTGACCCTATTAATGAACTGATATTTTGATTTCTGTTCTTAGTAATGGAAAAGAAAAGTATTTGCACTCTTAAGGCTTTCAAATGGGTTGATTTATTCCCACTCATAAAAGTGGTGGTTAAATTCCACACTTTCTCTTCCCCATCTCTCTTTCCCTTTCACCCCAGAAGAAAAATACTAGAAATGTGGCTGTATGAAGGGAAGAACTGAATAGTCCATTTTGCTGCCCTCATTTCCCTTCATTCTTACCAGAGCCACACCCTTTTCTGCAAAATACATCCTTGACACGTGTGGGAGAGCAGCAGGGGGAAGGCAGAGGGAGGAAGGGAGGCAAAGGCTTTCATTGCAAGTTCAGTAGAGTTTTTCCCTCTCTTTGCCTGGAGCCTTGATCTACAACAGGGAGTTCTGGTGGAATGCCGATGCAAAGCAAACTCCCCAAGTCTTTAATCATGATTTAGTCAAAGCAGATTGCACATAGGGGGTGGAGTGGTATGCAACACGCTTTACAGTCCAAAACAGCAGTATCCAAAAAAAACACTTCTATAGTCTGTCCTGCCTTATTTGCGATGGTTTCGATGAACAGCCTGAGATTAGAATGTGATGCCTTTTTAGTGGCTGGCCCAGCAGTAGGTTTGTTTTGCCTGGTATCTGTGGTAACTGAACAGGCATGCTCTTCTAGCAAATAATTGGGCAGGCTAAGCTATTAACTTCCAACCAGGACATTATGTCTGCTCCGTTTACTCTAGCTGGCTTAACATATTGAAAACTGTCGTCAAGTGGACGTTTTTGTATCGCTCCCTGCCTCCCTCATGCCCCAGGATAACCTTTACTGTCACAAACAAGGAGACAGCACAAGGACAGCAGCTAACAACACATAATCAGTTCAGCCAAACATTAAATCAAAAGGCCAGGCTCTCTGGGGCTTTCTGAGAACAAGGCAGGTCTTTTCTCTGTTACAGTCACTCAGTTTTCATTAACCTTACAGGAGTGGTGCGTCCACTCCCGCAGGGCTGTCAAAGGCCAGCAGGAGGCTGGTTTCGTGGGGGCGGGGCTGGCATCTGGGCCTGACTTGTTGCCAAGTCTTCATAGCTCTCCTCTCCCTCAGACTGCTCTCTCGGCGTAATGAGTGCTATTGAATCAAGGCACTGCTTTTTGATGGGTCCTCTCACCTCCCTACAGGTTACAGCACCCTGCTCCCCAACTAAGGCTTTGGTTCCGTCAGTCTGGCAACCTCACACACTTCAGTCGCAAGCGAGACACAGAGAGTAAACAAGAAGAGGCCTCCCAGGAACCAAAATAATGATCACACGTTGTAGGCCCGGTGCACACACTCAGATGTGTACAGGCAGGTAAGTGAAAAAAGTAAGTGAAGCTAGTGGAGGGGAGGAAAAACAGGGCTAATGAGTTCACAAGTGGCAGCTAACACTTGGCCAAGGCGTCGAGGACGTTGAGGGAGGGTGGGGACCTTGGCCAAGAGCCATCGTCCCACCTAAAGGAAGCAGCTGCCTCTCAACGCCAGCAATTAATGCCACGCTAGATCATGGGCCCAGGGCTCCCAGCTCTTCAGATACTTTAAGAGAGAAATCTGAATTTTACCAAAAGAAAATTCCCAAACTCTTTGACTATTATCAAGTAATTAACAAAGTTTGAAGACACGAGTGCATGCATGCATAGCCACCCTGAAGATGGCATTTGACCCTCGGGATGCCAGTTTATCATCTTTGCTTTAAGCATCAAAGGCCATGGACTTTGAATCCCTCTTGAGGCTTAGCCTATTGACTCTTAGTTTAGACACAATCATAGCAAACTTTCTCAGACTTAAGCAGATAAGAAGTCACAAATTAGAAGAGCGATGTAGGACTGGTAGATTCGGGCAGCCTACTGTCAGCAACAGGTGATGGTCTGAGAATGAAATGGATTCAAGAAAAACTCCGAAAGCAGAGCGAGGCAGGACCATTCAATTAATGGATGACTGGTATTTGTGTAGCTCAGTGACCATCTTATTACCTTCAACCACTACCTCTAGTATTTATAATTAGCAAATAAGTTAATGTCTATGAAAGGCTTGAAAACTGTGGCGATCAGTACAGACACTGGGCCAACCCAGACCATCTTTGAAAACAAGCAGAGTACTAACATTTAGTGAAACAGAAATATAAATGTATTCATATATATCCTATACATACATTCTGCATATTCTATTTAAAAAGGCATTTCTGGAATAGGTTTATTCAAAATAGGTTTTTTTAATTAACTGTTTTGTGCACAAAAGGGTAGGCTTTCAATTAGCTAGAAAACTCACATCTATGACAAAACTTTTTCCTAAAAAAATGTTAGGTGATATGTTTACCACATGATTCAACATCGGGCAACATCACTCTTTCTGTAAAGGGCCAGGTGGTAAAGACTTTAGGCTTGTGGGCCATTTGGTCTCCGACACAACCCCTGAACACTGCTACTGAAGCATGGAAGTCGCCATAACAACAGGTAGTTGTGTCCTGCTAAAACTTTATTTATGGACATCGATCTCTCAATTCCATATAATTTTTGTGTCATGAAATAGTCTTCTTTTGAGATTTTTTTCAACAACTTAAAAATGTAAAATCATTCTTAGCTCATGGGCAGTACAAAAATAGGCCAGATTTAGCCCTTGGGCTGTATGTGGTTTGCTGATCTCTGCTCTAGATTATGATCATGTTCCTCCAGGCCTAAATTTTGCAACATCAGAGTCTTTGCAATGACCTATAATTTCTTTATTTTTCAAGATGAAGAAATGTGATATGAAGGAAAATAGTAATGTGGATCATCCTTGTATCTGCCTGAAGCCCCTTGATGTACACCATCTGGGTTATAGCGCAGAGTGTGACTATGTGCCCCAGTTTCCTTTCTTCTCCTATATGATGCAGATGTTAAGAACACTGACCTCATAGGGTTCTTAAGAGATTTAAACAAGTCAGTGCATAAAAACAGCTTAGAACAATGTCTTGCAAGTAAGAAGTGATCAACAAATCTTAAGGCATCTCTCTTTCTGTTGCCAGACCCGGCTCACCTGGAACCCTAAGAACCCCATCCACCTTCCTAGGTCTGTTTAGTGAAGCAGAACAGCTGTGCTGGAGGGGTCGCTCTGCCCCTGAAAGATCCCAGGGCACAGGCAGGAGGCCTCAAGGCCCTCATTATCATGGGCAGCTTCAGTCTCTTCTGCCCTCTCCCCGCACCCAGGGTAGGGGAACTGCCCCTCATTCCCAATCACAGCCTCTTGAACCTGTTCTTTCAACTGTATCTGACTCTGTTACCTCTTCAGAAAGCCAGCCTGCTGGTGCACCCTGAGAAAAGCTGATGACAGAGACAAATACGCAGCTTGGTGGTGAAGACCAAGGCTTTGGAGCAGGGTTTAAATCTGGCTCTGCTGCTTACTATGTGACCCGGAGAAAGTTTCTTGAGATCACTGTGCGCTAGTTTCCTAATTTTAAAAAAGGAGAAGTAGAAGGGCTGGCCTGGTGGCATAGTGGTTAAGTTCGTGCACTCCGCTTCGTTGGCCCAGGGTTTGCAGGTTTGGATCCCAGGCACAGACCTACACACCACTCATCAAGCCATGCTGTGGCAGGCGTCCCATATAAAAAATAGAGGAAGATTGGCATGGATGTTAGCTCAGGGTCAATCTTCCTCACCAAAAAAAAAAAAAAAAAGAAAAGAAAAGAAAAAAGGAGAAGTAGAAAGTCTACCCAAGTGGTGGAAGTCTGGCTAAGAAGCTTTCTGTACCTTTACCCCAAACTATTCCACATAACGCCACCCCACCTTACTGCATTGTTGTAGGACCACACTGCTTTCTTTCTACTCCCTAGCAGCCTACTTGAGAGTAGCAAATTTCTTTCCCTCTGGGGTTAATTGCCCAGATTTAACTCTAATGGCTGAAACAAAAACAAAAGCAAAAAACAAAAAAACCGCAATCAAAAATTTTATCTTTGGATATATTGTTAAATTTCAAGGAAAAGAATAGGTGACTATTTGTCTTTCTGTGCTTTTCTGTTTGCAAGTGTCTCCTCTAAGAACAAAAGATTGCAAATTCATGAAGAAAAGACTTTGCATGTCCAAGGTGTGTCCAGATCTGGATGTTCTTCTGGAACCTTTCTCATACAAAATATCCCCCAAACTCTTCCACCTCCATATTTTTTGAATGTTGAATTGAGGTTGCAGTGGAATGGTATTTCTACTAAAAGACAGCACTTTACAATTCAGCTGCTGCCAGAGATCTGTATCTTGAAGATTGTCTTTATCTTCTGAGCATTTTCAGATAAATGGAAACAAAATAGTCTTAAAATAGAGATAGGCAGTAGTTTCCTCCAACTTCTAATTTTAATAGCCCTATTACATTCTTGACTCATTTTCAGTTTATTCAGTCCACTGTCATACTAGCTTCTTTCCCACAGGACGTCATTTACTTGACTTTAGACAGTTTGTTACAAATCCCAAAAGGCAGATGTTTTCTGTTTTCTTAGAAATTAAAGCTGGAACAAATTTGCCTCCAAGATATGTCCTGTGTTTGTACTTAACTGAAGACAATCTTTGCATTTGATTCTCCCATTGCTTGAAGTGGTTTTAGATTCAAATTTATATTTACCAATCTATCCTTTTATATGACACCCTTAACCTTTATAGTTTCTCCCCAAAAACTATGGAAAAATTGTTATAAATGGAGTAGGCTCAGTCCTGGTCTGCTCTGGTTAGGGCCCTCATGGCTGATAGTGTAGTTTTGATCATTACTCTTCAATGTGTCTTCAATGTGATGTAACCAACATAACTGAGTGGTTTCAATTATAGTTTTCTTCCAGTAAATATCAGTGCTGTTCTGTGGAACATAACTATCTAGGGCACTAATTCCTGATCACGAGATGACCTGGGCATTGGTAAGGTGAGCAGGAGTATGTGGAGGCAGCACTTAGGGTGACCGACTGTCCCTGTTTGCCCAGGATTGAGAGATTTCACAGGAAATGGGATTGTCAGAGCTACAACTAGGAAATCCTGGACAAATCAGGATGGATCGGTCATCCTATATACCATCAGCCCTACCCACTCTCTGCTGAAAGGTATATTAACTAAAGGGTACTGATCAGTCTGGAAGGAAAAGAAATGTTTAAACCATTTATCTGGATGGGGGGAGCATGCAGATCATTAAAAGTCTGCAAACTGTAGTGCATAAAAACCCTACACGTCCCTTCTCCACATGTCCCCGAACCACTGAGGCATGGGGACAAAATGATTGACATATGTGGGGTAGCTTTACAGTCAACCTAAAAGAAAGCATTTAAACCATTCTAACTACACAGATGTTCCCCAGTGGATCTAAGAATGTCTTAGTCACAGCTTAAATAATGATGGGAGAACCTAAAAGGAAATTAACTGTTAGTACACTGTCAACTGGATCTAAAGTCCTCTCCCTCCACACCACACGTGACTTGAGAAATCTTTCTGTAAAGGGGGGATTAATAGAAAAATAGGGGTCTCACGAATGGAAATGCTTATTTTAATATTTATAATGAATGGGCAATGAAATCAGAAAATGTTAATTCATTTTACAGAGCATCATAAGCAACCAGCCATTTGATCTCTCTGACTCTCAATTTCCAAATCTGCACATCGTCGGGATTGGAACTAGGTGCTCCCGAAGGCTTCTTGCAGCTCTAAAATGCTGTGATTATGCTAGATTCTGCGCAGAATAAAAAGGGGGCTGTTTTTACGGGAAAGCTGCATTAGAGAGTTTGGTTTAGACTCAGTAGTGCATGGGAAATTTCAAAATGTGATAAGATTAACTGACCAAGGAGGCTTGGAGGTGGAGTGGAGGGCAGTTAGCTCAGACAGACCAAAGTCCCGGGAGAGGAGAAACCAGACAGGGAGGTGTTCAGCCTCTCCAGGAGACCACCCAACACGTAGCCGGACTTCAGAGTCTCAGGTGGGCAGTTTCCGCGTGGAACGTGGACGCCATTTGGAGTCCTTGGCAGGAGGGCCTTCCTGCTGTAGAACCACAAGGAGCTCAAAGAAGTAGCTCTAACTTCAACTGAGGACAGAATTACAGATTTTCAATGAACGAGGAAATATGCGAGGACTGGGGGTGGTGTGGCTAAAGAGGAAACATCTAGAAGAGGGGACTAATCATGTCAGGAAGCTAATTCCATTAGGATGGTCTGAGTATCTTTGGTTTGCTTAGTAAAGATCACAGCTTTTTCCCCTAATGTTTTCACTAAGTTCTGATCTTTTAAATTTGGCCGAAGAGAAAGATTATGCGGAATGAATATCATGGAAGTACCAAGTTCAAGGACAAAGACTCTGAAAGCATAACCTGCAACCATCCATTCTCTGAAAACACGGCACTGAAGTGGCTAAAAGGTAGATATATTTGGGGGGAAAGGAGAGTCTGTTCAATAAATGGTATTGAGAAAACTGGACAGCCACATGCAAAAGACCACCATCTCACACCATACACAAAAATCAACTCAAAATGGATTAAAGACATGAACATAAGACCTGAAACCATAAAACTCCTAGAAGAAAACACAGGCAGTCAGCTCCTTGACATTGGTCTTGGTTCTGATTTTTTG